CAGCCCGGCATATAACTATGCGGTCACCAGAGCTGCTTTCTTTACTCGATAAAATTTATAGATTAGGTTTTGGCGTTCCAATTCCTTCCTTTCATTCTGCCTTCTAGTGACAAGGGTTAACTACTAGTCCCCACGTTGTGAAGGTCACCAGTGAAGTGTATTGGGCTGTGCAGCCAGCTTCACAATTTGCTTTTATTAACAGTTATGATTGCTCTGTTATGGTTTGATCATTTAGCTCTTGAATATTAGATAACTGGAAAGGGAATTTATATAGCTCTGGTAAGGAATTGCATTGTCAACCCCAAGACACAGTACTTACAGGGAAAAAAGTCTGCAAAAGCCAGAATTTGTGTAGGCTATAATGTTTCAAAGAAGGAAAGCAAAAATGTTTTCTATTGAATACATGATAGGGAAGTGGTAAGACTGCGCCTATCAGAGGTGAAATAATTTGAGACTTGGATCTCACAAGTTTCATTGTATTATTTTTTTGTAGCATTAAGAGTGTCTTACTATGCGGAATGTGTATTTATTGCTTTTCTTAACATCTTGATAGTGGAACTGATAACAGGATGCTGGATCTGATCTGAATGAAGAGTAGGACAGTGCCGAACTGTCAAACACTCCGAATAAGTTGTTGTTGTTGTGTGCCTTCGAGTCACCTGCAACTCATACAACCTATGTACAACAACCCTAAGCCCTGCTCTATGCTGTGTCAATCTTATTGTCTCTGACATAGCTACTCCCATAATCCCAGTCACTGAATCAATCCATCTCATTGAGGGTCTTCCTCTTCTGCGCTGTCCCTCTACCCTCCTAAGCATGACGTCCCTCTCCAAAGACTGATCCTACTTTGCAAAATGTCCAAAGCATGTCAGACAAAGCTTCAGAATCCTTGCCTCCAAGGAGCAGCCTGGTCTCACCCTTTCTAGGACAAGCCTATTTGTTCTCGTACCAGACCATGGTATATTCAACACTCTTCTCCAGCACCACAGCTCAAAGGCATCCATCCATTCTCCTTCTGTCCTCCCTAGTCATTGTCCAGCTTTCTGACGCATAGCAAGTCTGAAAATAGGTTTTCAGATATAGAACATCAGACACATCAGAGTTAATCCTTTAAAATCATTTACTCACCATGAAGTATTTTTATCCATGTTTATTATATAGCCTATGTTTCTTCTAACTCATATCCTTCTGTTGTTTAGAGTAGTTGGTTGACTAGATACCCAGAAAGACTTAATATGGGATAGAGAGCCCTTTGTGTTAATAATCCCTAATGCTCCTTCTGCCAGACTGATTTATAAGTGAATCTGGTGGTTTAGAGCCACCTTGAAAATACTGTTTAGTAAAGAATTGCTCTGATGTAAAATGTTACATGGTGAAAGCCTCTTACATATGCATTATTTATGAAAAAGGGCATGTGGTTTTATTTTACTTTATTAGATATAACAAAGACATATTAGACAATGAAATACTATTATTAGTTTTTCTGATTCTAAGGGAAATGAGAATAACTGTGCATTATCTAGCCAGTGTGATATGTATTAGTAGTTAAAAGCATAGTGGAATCATTTTCAAATCTAACACATACTGGCTATATGATTTTGGATATTAGTATTTTTGAATTATAGTTTTCTCAGGCTTAAAATACATATATTACCCAAGAGAATGGAAAACAAGTTTACCAAAAAAAGTCTATTCAGACATTTATATAGAATTATACCTGTTTGCTGTTCATTGCTTCTAAATTGGAACCAAAAGATAACTGACCCTTCAATGACTTTTCAGAAGTAATAAGTGGCTTGGGAGGAAACTGCCCTTTTCTCTCAGAGCAGCTGGTGGAGTCGAGCCTTTTGTTGTCTTTAGTTTGGCATTACAACTCCTTGCCAAGTAGGCCACCAATGCTCGTGGCCAAAAAAGGTTGTTGTTGTTATGTGCCGTCGAGTTGCTTGTGACTCATAGCGACCCTATGTACAACAACCTTAAACCCTGCTCTATCCTGTGCCAGTCACTGAATCAGTCCACCTCATAGAGGGTCTTCCCCTCCTGTGCTGTCCCTCCACCCTACCAAGCATGATGTCCCTCTCCAAGGACCGGTCTCTCCTCACAACATGTCCAAAGTATGTCGGACTAAGCCCCAGAATCCTGGCCTCCAAGGAGTAGCTTGGTTTAACCCTCTCCAGGATGAACCTGTTTGTTTTCTTGGCAGTCCATGGTACATTCAATACTCTTCTCTAGCACCAACAGCTCAAAGGCATCAATTCTTCTTCTATTCTCCCTAGTCATTGTCCAACTCTCTGATGCATACCAAGTGATTGCAAAGACCATGGCATGTATCAGGCGCACCTTAGTCTTTAGAGAGACACCGTTCCTCATGAATACTTTAGAGAGGTCCCTAACCACAGACTTCCTCATCGCAATATACATTTTTTGATTTCCTGGCTGCTGGTGCCAAGAGTGTTGACCATGGAGCTGAGCATACTGAAGCTGTGAACAATCTCAATCTCTTCGCCATCCATCCTGACGCTGCCAATTGGTCCAGTGGTGAGACTCTTTGTCTTCTTGACATTGAGCCTCAGTCCATACTGAAGGCTGCAGTCCTTGACCCTCTGCAGCAAGAAATGATTCGAATAGCCATTACAGATTGGGGGTGGGGGTGGGGGGGAGGCTGTTATATATTCGTACAAAAGAAAAGAATATCATTCTGCAATAAAAAAGATGTACTAATACATACAACCTGCTTGGACCTTGGCCAGTATTAAAGAGCTAGACATAAAAGGCCTTCCTGGGTTAGTTAGTAACCAACCTCCATGCTGTGGAATTGATTCTGACTCAGTGACAATGTTCATGGGTTGCTAAGCCCATAAATCTCAAGGGGAGGGTATTACTTCATTTTTCTTCCTTGTAGTTGTGGCTGAGTTTACACCACTGACTTTCAGATAGCAGCCCAACACTATACGCTGTGCCGCAGGTCTCCTTCCTAGTGATCTGTGAAGGACACATTATGTAATAAAATATTTAGAGATAATCCATGAAGTTATTGTTTGTTGATTTTTTTTTTGTTTTAAAAAAATCACTTCTTAGAACATGTAGATTTAAATTTGCTCTACTGAACCCAAATCACAACTTGATATTTGAAATTAAATATTGTCTTTTTCTCAAAAAAGTTTTCTTGGCATTGCTCTAGTAACAGACACTGAGCTGCTTTTACAGCAAGGTCCTATTTGCTTCTACTGATTCTCTTAAGAAGAAATAAGGCTATTGTTGGTTGTAGATACAGCATTCTTTCTGTGAGGATCAGTGGGACATTACTAAGTGATTGTTGTTTCTGCTTTAGTCTTTCAGCACTGGGATCCATGTGTTGATCATGTTTCTTCATTCCCATAACTCTGGAGGGTTTCAGTGTCAAATTATGGTTCACCTCTAGGAAGTATCTAGGATTTCTTTCTCAAACTTTTATGTACTATTCCTCTCAGGCACCAGCAGAAAGATTTGCCCACCTTTCTCTCACAGAGCAGCTGGTAGATTTGATTCACATGCCTTGGGAATGGCAGTGTCGCTCTGCATCACTAAGCCACCAGAGCTTTCTATTAGCTGTTAGAGATATACAAATGAAAACTCTATTAGCTCACAGTAGCAACAATTGTAAAACTGAGTAAGGCAGTAAACAGAAGCTGGCGAGGGTGTGGAGAAATGAGAAATATCATAAAGTGCTGTGGGCAACCACTGTAGTAAGTGGTTTAGCATTTTCCTAAGCAAAGTTGGAAAAAGGAATACCATTTGATCTAGCAATCCCTCTACTAAGCTTTTATGTGCTCCGAGTTGACCACATAGTGATCCTTTTTTTTTAAAAAAAATTTTTTTTATTCAAGGTTTAATGACAGCAATCCAAGGAAAACCAGCAAGCAAAACATTTTCTAACTCCATGGAGCATATAATGCCCTGAATAGGTTAAGTAGGTTTACAGTTGAGCTTTTTATTTTATTTAAATTTTTTTAATTTTGATTATTTTTTTGGGGTACCTGTACCGTCAAATCCAATCTGACTGGTACAGTAGGAGATTGTCCTTCCTTCTCCAGCAGAGCATCTGGTGGATTCAAACCACTTTCCTCTGGGATTGCAGGTAGATGAACTTTACTTCAAGAGTCTGGGTCTGATTCTTTTAAAGATTTACTGATGGGTTATCTCATCAGGGTACAAGTCTCAATTTTGGTAACAGTACCAGTGATGATAAATCTGTCCTTCATCCCACAGAAGCATCAGCAACATAGCAATCCTTTTGACAATGGTGTGTATCCCAAAGAAATAAGAGCTAGAGCAAAAGCTGATCTAATATACCCATGCTTATTGGAACATTACTTATCATAGCAAAGAATGGAAACAACCCCAGGTGTCCATCAATAGACAAGCAAAAGAAGCTAAAGATGACACATTCACACAATGGTATATTATACATCACTAACAAGGAATAAAAGAATCTGTGAAATACTGCATAATATGGATGGCATACTACTATGACATTGCATAACATGTTGAATGTGACTTAGTTACAAAAGGACAATTCTGGTATAAGATTTCTGTTATTAAAAGGTTAAGGGGGGAAAAGTTAAGGAAAGGTTTATACACAAAATCTTCCTTGAATGGTTACAAGGGACAGGAATGTAGAGAAAGTGTACCATTAAGGTATTAATTTTAATGAACATTTACAGAGATTTTGGATTTCTGTTTATTCATTGTTGCACTTTTTCTCTCTACACTCCCCTCCCCTCTCCCCCCACTTTGCTTCTGTCTTCAAAAAGCAAAAGTTAAACTTCTTCGTTGGAATACAATCCCCCCACCCCACCCCGAATGCACTCCACTGTGCAACCTTAATTCTGGATTCCTGTGATAATCATAATACACTATCATATATCGCTTTTAAACGGTTCTCTCCCTTATCTGTTTCAATTCATTATACACTTTTTAAAAGCATTTCTCTCCCTTATGTTTTTGTCTTTGTATAGAAGTTGGTAATATGGCGAAGCAGTACATACAGAAGGGTCTTTTGGTTCCGGATCATGTGATCACACGCCTAATGATGTCGGAGCTGGAGAAAAGGAGAGAACAGCACTGGCTGTTAGATGGTGAGTTGAATCTGTGGGTAAGCTGGATTTCCATGAGTTACGATCTTCTTTGCACATACCTTTATTTTTTTAAACAGAGAAATTATTTCAGTCATTTGGAAGGGACATTTCTTAAACTTTGCTTGGTTTGTTTAGACATGTTCCAATTTGGTAACATGATGGACACCCACGGTGGGACACCTAGAGCCAATTACAGCAAACCACTGAATTCTTGTATTGTTCCAATTTCATTTGTGTCTTTTGTTGCTATGACTGAAGTATCATAAGCATGATGTTCTTCTGTAAGGGCTGATTTATCCTGATAACATGTCTAAAATATGTGAAATCAAGTCTCATCATCCTCCTAACGCAAGATTTGCTTATTTTGTATTCTTTACTAATACTAAAAATCGACTGTATCAATTCTTTTTTTCAGTCTTTTTTCCTTGTTGATTGCCCAACTTTTACAGGCATAAGAGACAAGTGAAAAATACCGTGCCTTAGATTTGGCACAGCATAACTCTTAGTGATTTTCTTTTATATACTTTTTAAAGAGGTTTATTTTCTGTAGCCAAATGAAATATATTCCTGATTACTGGTCCCATAGGTACTGATTGTGATACAAGAAAAATTAAATCTTTGGACAACTCCATTTATCATGTTGATGCTTATTTGTTCAATTGTTGAGGTTTTTCTTTCCTTTATGGTGAACTGTACTGAAGGCTTTCATCTTTATTAGCAAATATCTATGTTCTGCTCCATATGCTGCAAACAAGTTTGTGTCACTGCATACTACAGGCGGTCTTCCTCCAATCCTGATGCCAATTCTTAATATTTTGGGATTATTTTCTGAGCATACAGATTAAGTGCAATGAAAGGCTACATACAACTCTGTACCCTTTCTGATTTTTAAACCATATATATATAATATCCCCTTGGGAGCTACTTTCCAGTTTGGGAAGATGAGCACAAGGGCCAGATTCTGCAAAAGGGTGCTGTCTGGTTTGGTGTTAAGACTTGGGTGTGGCTGTTGCTCATAACTGGATGTGAACTGATTGGATTTGTCCTCCTTTTTTTAAAAAAAAACAAACAAAAGGCATTTGGGCCCTCGGCCTGGGCATGGTTTTTGTGGAGCTCCTGATTAAAACAGGCTTGGAAGCAGGAGTGGCATCCACTTCCAAAATAGCTTGCCTCTGGAAACTCTATGAACTTAGAGAAAAGATGAAAGTTTTCCGTGTTCAGGATTTTAATTCATATGGTGGCTATGAGTCATTTACGACTGGATGGCACTTAACAACAACAGTATCTCCTTGTTCTATTCAAATGATTATTTATTGTGGTGTGTGTAGGTTCTACATGACCATAATTGTTTTTGAATTCTCGTTTTCATAATGTTACCCATAATTTTTTATGACCCACAATTGCCTTTGCATGGTCATTACAAAGACTAGGAAAACAAAAACAGCATTTTTTAAAATGAAAGAACGGAAAACATCCCAGCCTCCCACTGCAGTATTGAAGATTTTTATGGACAGAATATTTGACTAAATAGAAAATACTAAAATAAGGTGGAAGAAATGCACAAAAAGAACGGCTTAATGTCTGTTGTCATGTACCATCAAGTCAAGACTGACTCATACCTGACTCTTCAGTGGATTTTTAGAGGTTTTAAATCATGGAGTAGTGAAGCTGTTGGATTCGGATTGCATGCCTTCCTCGTTGGCAGTGCAGCTCCTTACCTTGAGGCCACTACAGTGCCTTAATTTTTAGGAGGTAGGTAGCATATGATCAAGAACCAATTCCTTGGTATGAGTCATTTTTACAGATTGTTCCATTCACGATAGGGCACACAAATTAAGACCATAAATTACTGTCTCTGTTGTCTTTAATAAAGATTAAAAAATTGGCAAATCCCTTGTTGAGAGCATAGGGAATTATTGACAATGTGATAAAAGCCACCTCTGGAGAACAGTTTGTCAACAGTTACAGTTTTCAGCAGTTCCACGAGGCCCAAGTACATATCATGTAGGCTGCTTTTTTTCAACATTATTCGAAATAACAAGAGCAGAGATTAGTAACCATTTAGATATCCATAAGGTCTCTTAAAGAGTGAGGAACAATGGTATACATTTGATGTTATCAGAGATCTTCAGAGTAAACTACCAAGTACAGTGTCATGTATATTATATAGTATTCTGTATCTGCATTTATACATACATATTGTTGTTGTTAAGTGCCATCAAGTCGCAGGCGACTCATAGCAACCCTATGAATGAAAGTCCGGGACACTTCCTGTATAACTTGCCTCCTTTCCCCAGGTTCATAGGGTTTCCAGAGACAAGCTTTTGAGGAAGTGGATGCCACTCCTGCTTCCAAGCTTGTTTTAATCGGAAAGCTTCACCAAACACTGTCCACCATGGGTAACAGTATTCGGCTTCACAGCAACCACGAGTTACCTCTGTACAGCGAGTGGACATACCAGGGTTACACGACCTAGAAGAATGTTTTTGATGATACCTATATACATACTGTACTTATTTTTGAAAAATAGTGATGGTTGGCCTCTGACTAAGAATTCAATTTAGGTGAGTTTTTCTCCTTTTTTAGAGGTTTGGAGTTTTTTTAAGTCTATATATCCTTTGATACTATTTGACATTTAAATATTAAATAAATCATAGTCTGCTCGTGTTTCCCATAACTTTCTGGAAAATATTACGTGACAGTTTTGATCATTTACCCAAAAGAATGCCTACAGATGCTGATCCTGAGCTTTATGTATAATAAACTAAATTTCAGAGCAGTTTCTCTCTCAGTCCTCTCAGTTTGCAACTGAGGCCTCACGGAGGACTGACTTATTTGCCAGTCTCATAAATTGTCCTATGCTGAACTAGCAAACTACCAAATGTCTAGAGTCTAGCATGACTAGTATAATATAATATGTAATGATTCTGTATCAGTGTTTCTGAGTATGCCGGGTAGAATGTGAAAAATTGTTAGAAGCAGGAACACAGATCTTGTGACCAAGTGTGCTTAGAAAATACCAGGTCTTAATAATCTGTAGCATTTATGGTTCTGGTGGCAGAGTCTGGAGGGAGTTGTGCTGCTAACCTAAATGTGATGCTTCTCTGTGCTTTGAATTCACCAGCTGTGTGGGAGAAAGACAGGCAGCCTCCTGCCTTGTGATTTACAGCCTCTGAAACCCTTTGGAGAGACAGTTGTGAGGTGGTTCTGACTTGAAGACAATGAATGAGTGAACATTTATTGAGCACTTATTTATTGTATGCCAAGCATTGCTCTGAATATTTTATTCAGTCCTTTCAAAGTGATCCTTGAGAAGTAGATACTGTTATAATCTCCATTCAATAAATGAGAAAACTGTGGCACAGGTAGGGTTCAACAGCCTTCCTGAGGTCAGTCAGTGCCAAGTGAAGTAAATTCAGAATTTAACAGAGCATTAAAGGATAATGTGACTTAACTTTTTACCGGAGATTTTCTGAATTTCACCACACAGCCTTTTAACTGGCTCTCAGCTTTCACAAATATCCTCCAGATTTGTTTAACAAAGCACTTTGTAAAAATTACACTCAACATGATGTATTCTACACTATCTTGATTAGTTAAGATCACAACTTTCTAATCCGTTGCTGTTGTGACCCATAGCTGACCGTCCAGTGAATTTTCAGAGGCAGTTAATAGCATAGGACAGTTAATAGCCCATTCTTCTTCTGTGGAGCAGCTGGGGGATTTGAAATGGGAGACTTTGGAATGGCAATGCCATTTCTTTTTGCTAGGCAGCCAGACTTCCCCTACACTTTCCATTAAAGGAAATTTAAGGGAACTGAGTTTATAATCCAGCAGGGAGATTAGTTGTTATAAAGGAGTGTAAAAAATGATTACTGACTAATCAGTCATACATGAATGGAGCTCCAAAAACAACAGCTGGACACTCAGAACCAGTAATAAAGAAAGAATCATTTATGTATTACTGGAGAAAATTATTTGCTCCTTTGGAGACTTCAGAGGAATTTCAGAGACGGTTAATCACACAGGAGGAGATTGCCCATCTTTCTCCCAGGGAGCAACGGGTGGCCTTGAACCGCATGCCTTTGGGATTGCAGTGCAGCTTCTTGCCTCTAGTCCGCCAAAGCACCCTTAAAGAGTAAGGTAGGAGAATGAAATGATCAGATTTGTGTCTTAGAAGATACACTCAAGCAGACATATGCACACCCATGTTTATTGCTGCTTTATTCACAATAGCAAAGAGTTGGAAACAACCCAAGTGCCCATCAACAAACCAATGGATAGAGAAGCTGTGGTATTTTCACACAATGGAATACTGTGTGGCACTGCAAAACAAAGAACTCATGAAATAGTATACAAAATTGGTGATCATGGAGGACATTATGCTGAGTGAAATGTCTGTCACAAAAAGACAAATGCTGCATAATGCTACAGTTATAAAACAGGACTGACGTGGGAGTTAGTACATGGCATTGAAACAGATGTGGGAGAGGACTGTATAAAAGAAATGTATGATTAGGTATTATTGGCATGACAAGAGTTCAGAATAAGAGCTGCATAGTAAAGTGGTCCAGGTATGGGGGGCTGGGGAGAGTGGGATGACTATATAACAATGAAAGAACTTTTCCAAAGACAAAAGCAAACTGGGGGGAGGGGGTCCGGGAGGAAAATGTGCAACAATGAGTGAATAGAAATCCAAGTTCTCTATAAATGTAATTAAAAATATCAAGTAAATATCAATTACAAATTTAATATTTTAACAACAACAACAAAAAAAGATGGTCTGAGTGTCAAGGTAGGTAGAAGTGGGTAACAGGAAGACAAGGAAAAAATATTCAGAATCGATCAAGAGATGTTCAATGCCTGAATTTGCCCAAAGACAAACAGTGAGATAAAAAAAGCTCATTTGCTGTTACATTGACTGTGACTCATGGCATCCCCATGTTTGTCAGACTAGAATTATGCTCCTTGGAGTTTTTACTGGCCCATCTTCAGAAGCC